CCCAATCTAATTTTCATTTTATTATGATTTGTAGATTTCAAATAAAGAAAACAGTGAGCCTGAATAACTCAATTGACTGATTAATTGATTTTTGCCAAGTCTTCATATCCAAAACAATTCATTATGGAGTCCCCAAATCCCAGTGATTTTATACTGTCATTTTTTTGGGGAAGAGGGCATCTTTTCAGGTGTATAAATGTCAGTATAATAGAATCATTCAAGAGGTCAAAAGAATTGTTCTTGATTTTCTAGAAATGACTATTAAAGTCCACTGCTAAGAAAAAATAAAGGTACTTTGGATCTCATACTCTAAGTTTAAAGATCTCTCCTTTGTTGGGGTCAGCCTCCTCTGGGTAGGGCTTACAGGAGAGCACAGTTATAACCATCTCCCTCCTGTCAACCCTCTGGCCCCTTGGGGAGCAAGAGGGTTAAACTCTGAGGAGTAGTGGCTCTTTCTTCACCATCCCTCCCAAAGCTGACATGCAGGAAGAAAGGTGACTTTAGACTTGAACTCCAACACGTCATACCTACAAAATTGGGAGTCAGACCATCTCCTCTCTCACCAAAGACACAAAAAATAGCTATTCTCTTTTGTTTAAAAGTTGCATAACATCTAAACTAACAGAGTGTCTGAAATTTTCAGTGATTGGAGGCAAGAACAGGACAGTTATGCTATGGCTGAGAGAAGAAGTACTCAGGAGTTGGGGAAGGGGAAGAGGTCAGACTGCATCACAAACATGTTGTTGGGTAAAAATAATGAAGTTTCTTATGGATCAAGCAAAGAGTGGCTGAACCTAAAGCACCCTGTGATTAACTTGCCCAAAAGGACTGACCACTGGACAAGAAGATCCCACCAACAAGAGCCTGTGGAGTGGACAGCCAAGGCATGAAGAAAGAAGGGAGATGGAAAAGGCATGAGTCAGACCCAGAGCTCCTATTCCAGGAGCTATCCAACTAGAGGCCATCATAGGGCTTCTGGAAGAACTTGCAATGTGCCCCAGTGAAAGCTGAAATTTGGATACTGGCTACACAAACAGAACCAGAGAGCAGTCAGTCACTGTTAGAGTAAGCATCTGTAACAACCAAATGGGAAGAAGGCAGCTATCTTGCCAGGAGTAGTTACAAGGCAATACCACCTGTTTTCCACTCATTGCCTCCCACCTTGCCTCCCGAGAAGGAAGGACAGTGAAGAAGGTGGGGTTGTGAAAGAGAAGAACATGACTTCCCCCTCTCATCACAAGCCTTTAGAGACTGCTCTAATCTGCTCTGGAATAAGGGAAAGCATGGAGAAACACTGGAATTGAAGTTAAGATGGAATTGTTAAAGTGAATACTATTAAAATAACAGAAAAGGCTTATCTGTAATATATAAAGAGCTCTTTAAAAAAAGGACAA